TCACAAAGAGAGCACTTTTCGTAGTTAGGTGAAAGGTCCGAGTTTGCTCTAAGTAACAACATTAATGAGACGAGTTAAAACATAAAATACAAAACCTATACTGAAAGCCAAGGATTGGATGATGTCCTAACGAAATGAATTATATAAAGATGGATAGAACCAATCATAGACTATTAAAAAAACAGATAAATTAACATCTCTTCCACCAAATCAGTGAACTACAAGCGGTAGTAAGGCAACATCTCTTTCCTACTTTTACAGTTCTCGTTAAATGTCCTTCATGACATGTCGAGGCAGATTAGTCCGAGCGGGAAGTACTTCCTATCGTAAACTATAACGAAATGCATCTAACCTGTTTCAGACATCAGTTCGTCAGTAAAACGAAGAACAGTAGCAAACGGCACGATAGTAGTGGAGCCAAAAAGCGAGGAAGGCTTCTGTTGAGTCGCGTAAAGTTGACCCCAACCACTACCACTGCGCCGTTTATAATTTCGCTCCGTTATACTAACTGATTACCTGGAACTGGCTAAAATGCTCCTTAACTAAAAGATAACTAGCAACACATGCAAGGAATTCTGACAAGAGACATAGAGAGGTAAAAATTTTTAATTGATGTGTAACAGTGCCTTACTACGGCTAATCAGTTACGAGTGCGTAACAGGTGTACCTGGTTTTCTTGTCAAAAGTGGTTTAAAAGGGTTAACAGTTTGAAACTTGGAAAGGGGGGGGGGCATTCCTTTGGAAACTTTTGTTGAGTATCCTCCCTCCCCCCCTGAGCATACTCTGTCTGACCATACAATAAACAGCCGCGCTATACCTCTGAAGTGATCCATCATTCGACCAATTCTGGCAAGCGTTTACAATATCATTTGCTGTGTACAGAGCTTGGAAAGCTCTCGGATTCTCTTGAGAGAGATTCTGTTGGCGAAGCGAAATAAACAACGGTCAAAGTAAAATCAAACGGCGGCTAGGAAAGTTTCTACCATGGGGTAAACGAAAGATTCATCACAGGGGCACAGTGGTGGCGGATAGAACTGAGATAACAAACAATAGTTTTGTTTGTATAGTTTCGAGTCAGAATTAACAGGAATTTTAATTGATGAAGTCCAATTTTAAATCAAAAAGTCACTGAAGAAGAAAAAAATTGAAGCACTCTCCAAAACATTCGGCCTTTTGCCGGATATGTGACCCCAATTGTACCTGGACATCATTTTTGCCGAAGTAGTGAGGCGGTAGACAGTTACACAGGATAATGAACATTCCTTGTTCAATTAACGTTAAACTGTTGCTTGACTGTTGTTTGGTCGTTCATTTGTCTCTGGTTTGATTGCAAAACCTTTAGTTCATTCCCCAGCTTGTTAACCCTTAACACCCTAACATCAGTATCCATATTCTGCATACTCTTCTCTATATGCGTCTTTTGGTACTGACAAGGAGAATTCATTTGAAGATCAAAGCTTCTTAGGATGCCGATTATTTCTTTTATTCTAATGACCTTAATAAATGGTTCGGCAATATTTTACTAAGGAGAAATTAGATGCTGGTGACTCTTAAGGTTTAGAGGGTTAAGGTTTGTTTCGTTTTAGCGTGCGTTTATTCGACTGTGCGTTTGATTATAAACTTGTTCGTTCCTTCCTTTCTTTGCTTGTTTGTTCGCCTGTTTGCTATTTCAACTCATTTCTCACCTTGGCCAGGTCAATGATAACAGTAAGATCCATTAAAACTTCGTAAACTTCAGCGTCAAACACAGCAATTTCAGCCATGGACAGCGTGTAATGTCTTTTCGGGTCCGGTGCATTTATCAGGCCATCTTTTCCAGCACCAAACATACCATTGGCAGCCATTTCCACGTACAAGGTACAGCTTTGGAACAACAACAACAACAAATATAAATCATTGAAAATGTTAGCATTGCAATTCTCACAGCAATCACCAATTGGTAAGAATAAAGAGATTTGGAGCCCTTCCACATTCAAATCCCCTCTCAGGCTAAAAATGCAAGACATAAAAAAATAAAAAATAAAAAAAAAAAAACAGAAGAAAGTGAAACAACACCAAACGAACAAACAAGAGAACAAACAATCTCAACTAGATTATACTGACAGCGCTCTAAGAAAATCTTTCGCATTTGCCTTTTTCACTGTCCTGGAACCACATTTATAGATATTTTCACATAAAATAATTAATAATGTCTCTGTTGCTCATGTGTACCTTCCAGGAGTTGCTTTGGTAGAGAGGACATAGTCTGTACGCTGTTGATGTCCATCTCCACCTGTTAGGCCCTACAGAATACAGAAAAAAATTAATAGAATTATGAGAATGAGTGGAACCAAAAAAACTGATTCTTGCTAAAACTTCTATCAGATTTGACAGCAGCTTTTTAATAGAATAAAAATGCATTGCACAAATTGATATGAAAGTATGAGACATAATGAAAGAAGACCATGATTGGCTAGTTACTGTACATCCAAAGGTGTGAATTCAAGCCCTTGATGTTTTGTTGTGTTGTTGGGTGGGGCACTTTACCCTAACAGCACTTCGTTACTTATAAGTATGAATGGACACTTAATTGTGAACTTGATGAAATGCTGGGCAGGGGGAAGGGGGTCATTCATGACAAGGATGGAGGGGAAAATACTCCTACACCCTGTGGTTGCTTCATACAACAACAGAAAAAGCCTAACCTTCAGTGGTATGGGCTGGAATAACCTTGAGGATTACTGGTACCCATTTCATACTTTTGAAAAATAAATTCTCAGGTTAGAAGAGGCATATGTTTAGCAGACACTAAAACTGGCCAGAAGACAGTCATGATCCCCTCCCCTAGAACCATTATCCAGATAACATATTTATACGTTCTTAAAACAGGTTACATGAAGTGCCTCTTTCTCAAATTGCAGTTTGTGATGCAAATAATACCAAACAATACCAATAAATAAGTCAGCACACTGTAAACTCTGGGAGTGAATTGTACCTGGTAAAAAACATATTTTGCTCTCTGAGTTTTTATGGAGCCAAGTTTTTTTCTTGCTTACTGTGAATTTTTTGACATGTACCTGTTTGGGTTTTCCTTCTTGCCACACCTAAAACAAAATTATATTTACCATTGTTACAGTTATTATAAACAACTACTGATAAAAATTATTAACAGAGTTGTCAAATAAATAATTGATAAAATTCTACCAAATTTAAGACTTTAAATCCTTTAATTCCCAGGAGTGATTAACATTTAACTTCTCCCTATAATATCCATACATTATCTGGCAAACAGGTCACAAGATTTACTCAAACTTATCCATTAGGAGTTGTTATCTTGATCAAACTCTAAATTCTGGTCACTAATTTACAAAGAAATGTGTAACGGCTTGAGGGAAGAATAACATTGGAGTTAAAGGGTTCAGCACTGAATTTCTACCATTGAATCATTCTCCTAAATATAAGAATTGAATCAAATAAGAAAATTAATATCTGAGTTCTAAGTTACCATAGCTTCTGATCCAGAGTTCCATCTGAAATGCACTATTTCTCCTGTCCACTCTTCTGGAATGTCGATGACAACTTTGAACCAATGAGTGGACCACCTGTATAAGGAGGGTGAGGAGTTGGATTTAAGAATACATTTTGGAAGTGAAAGCGTTGATCTTGGATATAAGATCAAGGGAGGGGTTTGGAGTCAAATATAGGTAAATCTGCTAATTTGCATCAACTTTGGACTCAATCCACTGATCATGAAGCAGACCCCATTTCTAAAGTCTCCTTGGTATTTATCTATCACAAATGACAGTATGCCTTGATTCTTTATTTTATTTTTACTGATTTAGATTTAAATAATTGAGTTTTTGCTTTTTCTTTTGCTTAAGATTAAGCATTGACAATAAGTTGATGAGCCTTAACCATGGGTTCATCACTCAGAAAAGGTGTTCTTTGATTTTTAAATGCTCAAATATATTTTTTATCGGCCAAATATACTGGATCTGAAACCTACTTAGCCCCAGGCCACTCCTCTTCTCTAGGAATCTGCCGTACATTAGCTGAACTAACTAAAGTAAATTGCTGCAGTCAGCGGTTGATCATGACTCACGTAGGACCATAACTGTTTCCCACTTGTGCCTCTGCGAACTTCCCACAAACAGCTTCATTGTATGGGACTCTTCCAGGAGCTGTGTAGTGAGTCAGGGAACTTACAGGCAGTTTCTTAGGATATAACCTGGGGAAAGAGTAAATAATCAGCTCCAGATTAAAAGTAAATTAGTGGCTATTTCCATGGTTGCTTTAATTAAAATACCTGCTCATAGACAATCAAATCTCTATGTCATATCAGAGTCAAAGATTTTATTCATTCAAACTCAAAATACATGTTTTACGTTTAAATAAATACGTCTGAGACTCTAAAGCTGTAAAGGATGATTATAAAAAAATGGATCCATGAACATTACAATAAAAGCAGTTTCCTTTCAATTATTATTGGAAATTGCGGGATTTAAGAAGCACGCAAACTTCTTTCGTTTCACAAATAGTACTAAATAATTTAAACCTGGCGGTAAATCACGTAGGTCACTCAATAGAACGTCAGGTTTTATTTTTTTCAATAGATCCACATAGTATATCAAATGTATAACTATATCAAGTACGGGAAGTGGTTTGACAGATACTGTAATACTTGATAACTAATCTGAAAAGCAACGAACGATGATGTAGCAGGAATGAATCTAGCAAAATACACCAACACCCATGCAGTAGATTTACCTGCTAAACAAGTTCACATCAGCGAAATATTGCGAGGAAATGAATTTTTCTGCCCTTTCTAAAGTGCATCTCCAATTCTTCCTGGCGCAGTGTTTGTCCGCCATATTGTCCACGTCGGTGATACCGAGTCACGCAAAGTCACGCCATCAAGTTCTTCATTTCCAGTCTCCCATATGAAAATTTCAGATTAATAGCGAAAGAGACTGGTTCGGGGAAGATGACAGCATTACGTCATATGTCTTGTGACTCTGACAGCTGTGCAAAACGAGCGCAAGGGAAAATTTTATGTTGAGGAAAACCCGCAAGGATTATGGCCTCAAACACGGCATCTGTAGTGTATATCCCTTCTTTGAAAGACTTGATATTTGCAGTGATTATCTTTTCGTCGATGTTCTCCGTTACTGCCGCCTTGTGTGTTGGTGGATGCTTTAAAGAAGGTTTTGTATGTTGTAATAGCGCTTGTATCCAGGGATCCAGTTGTGTGGGTCTTCCTTGTTCAAACTATGACTTCTGTTCATCTGGTGAAACTTGCTGCAACAATATTTGTGTGAATGGAACAAGCTGCCTTGGTAAAGGCTGTTCGGTGGAATCAGATTGTGCCTCGAGTGAAGTATGTTGTAGCGGAACCTGTAAAGATGGCTTTTTTTGCATTGGATTGTCGTGCAAGGCAAATTACGACTGTACATCTTACGAGAACTGCTGCGGAGGAATATGTAGCTATGAAGTAGACTGCGAAGTAGACTGCGATGATTTCGCTATTTGGATCTTGCTTTGTTCAATTTCTGCTTGTCTGTTTATCATTTTGTTCCTCTTCATGCTTGTTGTCTGCTTTTGTCGAAGTCGAAGAAGGTACTACGAAAGAGTTTTAGAAGGAGGAAGACTACCATCGGTAACAACTGTGAGAGACAGCAGCCTGTCTTATCCATATCTACCGTCCTATCAACAGAGCTATCCGTACTTTCCACAGCCACAGTACGTTCGGTATCCGCCAAACAATGTTGGCCCAGCAAAGACAAGTGAAGCACCCCCTCCTTACAACCGTACCTCAGAGGAGGCATCAGGGGTGGTGAATACACCTCATACAAACTATGGTGCTGTGTCAAATTCTTTATAGAAACGCGAAGGTTTGATTTCATTCAAGTTATCAGTGTATTTACAATATGTACAGAGGAACATATTGTTCTTATTGTTAGAAAAATGCAAGTGAGCCATGCACTTGGAACTTTGATCCCATTTTGATCCCATTTTTTATCTTCACTCTGCCTTAAACTTCTAACCTCTAAGAGTGACTAGCTTCTCATTTCTCTTCACCGTAACATTTCTGAATCAAACATTAAATTCACAGAATCAATACAAATGATTGTCAGTGTAACAAGCTCTTAATTGTTAGACAAATCTTTCATATCAGTAACCTTAGAAAATTTATGGAAAACAACATGATGATTATGCACAGTGATGATAGGGTTTAAAGTGTTAGGGTTGTTAATTTTTTTCCTTGGTAATTTGTATTTTTTTCTTAGTAAAGCATCAGAATTTTGACCTTTCAACATTTATATTCAAAGGTTCCAGCTAAAGTAATTCAATAGGATTTTATGTCTTGATGGTTGTTACTTGAAGAAATAAGGGCTGAGGTTCTTGATATCAATATGAATGGCAGATAAATAATAGAATTCCTTCTTCAAGCTTGTCTCTTGAAATTTCTACCAACCATACATGAAAATGCCACTTAAACTAAGTAAAGTGCAGCTTAGAGCTGAAAAATAAGTTTGCTCTATCTAATTTCCTAATCGAACTGTTTGAATTTCAAAATTATTTAGATGTTGACCTTGAGTGTGAAACAAAAAATTAAAGTAGGAACCAGGCCTGATTGGTGCAAACCCTGGGTTAGCACAAAAAAAAAAGATAAAAAAATGTTGCTGTGGCAAATAATGTGAGTTAGAACTAATTTTGATTTGTAAACTTGGCAATCTCATGGCCATACAACAGCATACTGGCATGAGTTTGCCCTTTGTCCTTCAGTTGCCTTACTGTCTTTAAAACCTGAAATGAAAAGAAAAACGTATCGCTCTGACTATAGAGATAAACATTTCTAACTAAAAAAAACAAACATACACCAACGACAAATCTGATTCTGGCAATCTTCTCAAAAAGCATTGGGAAGAAATCATCACTACAATGAAATTAAAATAGATGGACCGTGAAGGGAAGAACAAGGCGGCTGTGAAGACAACCAGTTAGTTATTAAGGAGGGGGGATTAAATTCAAAATCCATTCTTTCTCTTTGCTTCGTCTTCAAACCGGAGCTCAAACAGTAAATGATTATCTCGGCAAAGATGTAATTTAGGCCAAAATCCAAAATTGTATGGTAAGGGACTCCAGCTGAGTCCAAAGCAATCCTTCGCATATTTGTTCAATGCGGCAAGCGTGAAGCGTGAGCAAAAGACGTAACTTATATAAGATGTATACATCACTGACTTACATCAGCAGCGTTTGCACGAGACTCGTACGTGTCTGCGGGAGGAAAGTGTGCAAGACATCTGTAAACATAAGGGAAACGAAATGACAGTTAGATAGAATACTGGTGATTTGAAGATCACCGAGTTATTTTACAACAATTGGAAGTAATGGGGCAATCTGATTGGTGAATTTGCCGTTGTCGCTAAGAGTACAGAGAACGCGGCTCGCATCAACGTGCCACGCAATGCCTTTATCAGCTCTCAAACATGGATGACTCGGGAATTTAATTTTGACGTCGATTTTGAGGTAAAATAAAAGGTCGACAGCGGTTTAGGGTGGTCTATACTCTTATTGACAACGGTATTCGTCATCACAGTTGTCAAAATATTGTGGACTCACGAGCTCGCGCAGCCATACAGCCGAGTGAGTCCACAACAAATTAAGGAGAAAATAAGGGATACATTACGTTAAGGGGTTAGTCGTGAACGAAGAAATTAAGCTTAGTTTTTGTCGTATAACGCGACTGGGAGTATTGCTACTGTGCTCTGTTCTGGTGTACGGCTGTTCAAAACCTGAGTACACGTCCTCTCCCTCCCCCTTGTCCCTCCCCTTCCCCCTCCCCCCAACTCCACCTTACACCGAAATTTAGCATGGTAGCCATTAGGCAACTATGTCTCCCACAAGCAGATGAGTTTTTTTTTGGAAGAACTGCCATCTTCCCTAACAAGATCACCATTTCTTGCTCGTCTACATTGCTATAAATAGCAACGTACCTTGATCCATCAATTCCCTCCCAAAAGAACGTGTGAAACTATAAAAAAATTAAAGTTGGAATCTACGAGTAAGCTTTTGAAATCAATATGAGACACCTCATGAACACAGTTACACCACTGACTGAAAAAAAACAAAAAAATAAAAAAAACATACAAATTACAACAAAGCAAGAACGGAAAAAGTGAGCTCATATCAAATACATGAAAGTTTCACTTTGGCTAACGAACAAGGGACAGTTGGTGAAAGAACAAAAACAAATCAAAACAATAAAAGGTCTCTTACAGGGAATTTATTTATCCGACTCCAGCTCAGTTTCATCGTTAGAAAGTACTTCATTCCTACTCCGCGAATAATAATAATAATAATAATAATAATAACTTTATTTATATAGCGGTATATACAAAAGCTCTATATCGCTTTACAATCAAAAAAGAAAATAACTAACTAACAATAACACTAAAACAAAAAGTCAAATGAAAGCGAGTCTGAAAAGATAAGTTTTCAATCTAGATTTAAAAACATCAACTGATCCACTTAATTTAATGTCTAAGGGAATATCATTCCATTGCTTTGGGGCAGCGACCGAAAAGGCCCTGTCCCCATAGCTCTTCAGGCGCACATTCGGTACTTCTAATAAATGTTTGCCAGCAGACCTAAGATTTCTTGTAGGGTTATATGGGACTATAAGTTGACTTAAATACGGAGGCGCCAGATTATTGAGAGCTTTAAAAGTTAACAGTAATACTTTAAAGGTAATTCGCTGCTCCACAGGTAACCAGTGTAGCTCCTTAAGGACGGGGCGAATGTGCGCAGCCCTAGGTTGCCCAGCTACAAGGCGTGCGGCGCAGTTTTGAACGCGCTGGAGCTTCTGAATAATATAGTCCGGTGACCCGAGGAGCAACGAGTTACAATTGTCCAGTCGACAAGTAACGTAAGCATGGACAAGGGTCTTTGTGCTCTCAGAAGTCAGATACATTCTAATCTTAGCGATAATAATCTGCGGCAGCTGAGCAGAATAACCAAATGTGTCTGGTAACCAGAACTGAAAAGAAACAACAACCACAAAGTAAAGTGAAATAATACCAGTCACAAAAGGAGGTAATGTGAATGTACGGTTTTTCCTAAAAACCTACGACTGTGCCCTAACAAGGCTTCGAATCAGCCTTTTTTCTTGTCATCTCTGACCAGAGAGTTGTATTTTCAAACTCAAATTTCCCAGAATATCAGAATGTAAAGGAGGGCTAATTTTCAGGTAACATCGCTCTCCCTTTCCTCTACTCGTCGGGTGTTCCAATAGCATACTAAAAGTATTTATTGATTCATTATTTATGTATTTATCATTTTACTCCAGATCTATCTATCTATTTATTTATTTATTTATTTATCTATCTACTCATTCATTTTTCTGTACATTCATTTTTTTGTTAGTATAATTATAACCTACTTCTTGACAAACTTTCCCAAATTCTTTCCGGTGAAAATCTTGTCCAACTAAAAACTGGCGAATGAAAGATTCTCCACTCGGAATATTACCATCCTGGAACGGGCACAACAAAGAATTATATTAACCTGACTAACATATTGACTGTCTTGTCAATGATCTGGTATTACCTCAAAGGCTTAAAATTACCTACATACACTGACAATTAGTAGCACTCAAGAGATTTTTTCAGCATTTCAACCCAAGTTCCACCCACAGGGATAAACTTTCCCTTGGCAACAAATAATTTAATCTCGTCAAACAAAGTCGGGTAATGGATTTTAACCCACTCCAGTTGCTGCGCCTGGAATAAAAAATATACGAGACAGTCAGAGACTGCAAAACTAAATGAGTTTAAGACCGTCTTACAGCTAACGTAACCGGGATAATGTTAAAACATTGGGGATAGAAAGACACAACGGATGAAGGTCTATTTTCAGGCTGCAAGGAGATTTTTCATTTTCACTTTCCATCGTAGTTATTTTTGTTGTTGTTTTAGTCTGGTTACTAGGTCCTTCGGCTGATTAAGAGTTGCCGGAAAGGATTAAATGCTATTTATGTTACTAACAAAACCAAGAAGGCGCTCGCGCTGTAATTACACAGAAGGATACTTGGTGTTGGCTTGAATTGAGCAGTAAATAACATATAGGTTGGGGGGGGGGGGGGAGGTGGGATGCGAAGGAGGAGGAGGATAAGAGTTAACGAGTACATTTTCAAAACGAAATAAACAAACAAAAACAAACCTGTGAACAAACAAATTTGAAGTCAGGGTATTTTTCCATCAAGCGCACAGCAGTAGCGAAATTTCGCCCACACTTCCTAACTTTCTCAGAAACAGGCCACAACCATGCTGGACATAATAATAATTCATTGCCTTTAACTCAATCTACTATTTCCTAAAGAACATGTTGAGCGGCATCGACGGGCAAATCAGTGTATGTTTGATTCAGGGGTGATATGGTAAGGAGAAATTAGATGCCAATCACTCTTAAGGGTTTAAGGGTTAAAGTAATGAGTATATGTGTGGTACATGTAAGAGTAGCAGACAGATGAAGCAGCTTACCACAGTCAATATGGCAGTTACCGACCGCGTGAACCTGGTGCTGAGATTCACCGTTAGTTTGCTTGAAAAATCTTGTAGCGATCTCGTGAGCTCTGCATGGAGCCGAGGCAACAAAAACACGAGCAAAAAGCTCATTAGAGAATGCTATTATATATTATACCTGGGAGGGCAAAAATTTGTCTCTCTCTCACAAAGAGAGCACTTTTCGCAGTTAGGTGAAAGGTCCGAGTTTGCTCTAAGTAACAACATTAATGAGACGAGTTAAAACATAAAATACAAAACCTATACTGAAGGCCAAGGATTGGATGATGTCCTAACGAAATGAATTATATAAGGATGGATAGAACCAATCATAGACTATTAAAAAAACAGATAAATTAACATCTCTTCCACCAAATCAGTGAACTACAAGCGGTTGTAAGGTAACATCTCTTTCCTACTTTTACAGTTCTCGTTAAATGTCCTTCATGACATGTAGAGGCAGATTAGTCCGAGCGGGAAGTACTTCCTATCGTAAACTATAACGAAATGCATCTAACCTGTTTCAGGCATCAGTTCGTCAGTAAAACGAAGAACAGTAGCAAACGGCACGATAGTAGTGGAGCCAAAAAGCGAGGAAGGCTTGTGTTGAGTCGCGTAAAGTTGACCCCAACCACTACCACTGCGCCGTTTATAATTTCGCTCCGTTATACTAACTGATTGCCTGGAACTGGCTAAAATGCTCCTTCACTAAAAGATAACTAGCAACACATGCAAGGAATTGTGACAAGAGACATAGAGAGGTAAAAATTTTTAATTGATGTGTAATAGTGCCTTACTACGGCTAATCAGTTACGAGTGCGTAACAGGTGTACCTGGTTTTCTTGTCAAAAGTGGTTTAAAAGGGTTAACAGTTTGAAACTTGGGGAGGGACATTCCTTTGAAAACATTTGTTGAGTATCCTCCCTCCCCACCTCGTCGTGAGCATACTCTGTCTGACCGTACAATAAACAGCCGCGCTATACCTCTGAAGTGATCCATCATTCGACAAATTCTGGCAAGCGTTGACAATATCATTTGCTGTGTACAGAGCTTGGAAAGCTCTCGGATTCTCTTGAGAGAGATTCTGTTGGCGAAGCGAAATAAACAAAGGTCAAAGTAAAATCAAACGGCGGCTAGGAAAGTTTCTACCATGGGGTAAACGAAAGATTTATCACAGGGGCACAGTGGTAGCGGATAGAACTGAGATAACAAACAATAGTTTTGTTTGTATAGTTTCGAGTCAGAATTAACAGGAATTTTAATTGATGAAGTCCAATTTTAAATCAAACAGTCACTGAAGAAGAAAAAAATTGAAGCACTCTCCAAAACATTCGGCCTTTTGCCGGATATGTGACCCCAATTGTACCTGGACATCATTTTTGCCGAAGTAGTGAGGCGGTAGACAATTACACAGGACAATGATCATTCCTTGTTCAATTAACGTTAAACTGTTGCTTGACTGTTTTAGGTCGTTCATTTGTCTCTAGTTTGATTGCAAAACCTTTTGTTCATTCCCCAGCTTGTTAACCCTTAACACCCTAACATCAGTATCCATATTCTGCATACTCTTTTCTATATGCGTCTTTTGGTACTGACAAGGAGAATTCATTTGAAGATCAAAGCTTCTTAGGATGCCGATTATTTCTTTTATTCTAATGACCTTAATAAATGGTTCGGCAGTATTTTACTAAGGAGAAATTAGATGCTGGTGACTCTAAAGGTTTAGAGGGTTAAGGTTTGTTTCGTTTTAGCGTGCGTTTATTCGACTGTGCGTTTGATTATAAACTTATTCGTTCCTTCCTTTCTTTACTTGTTTGTTCGCCTGTTTGCTATTTCAACTCATTTCTCACCTTGGCCAGGTCAATGATAACAGTAAGATCCATTAAAACTTCGTAAACTTCAGCGTCAAACACAGCAATTTCAGCCATGGACAGCGTGTAATGTCTTTTCGGGTCCGGTGCATTTATCAGGCCATCTTTTCCAGCACCAAACATACCATTGGCAGCCATTTCCACGTACAAGGTACAGCTTTGGAACAACAACAACAACAAATATAAATCATTGAAAATGTTAGCATTGTAATTCTCACAGCAATCACCAATTGGTAAGAATAAAGAGATTTGGAGCCCTTCCACATTCAAATCCCCTCTCAGGCTAAAAATGCAAGACATAAAAAAATAAAAAAAAACAAAAAAACAGAAGAAAGTAAAACAACACCAAACAAACAAACAAGAGAACAAACAATCTCAACCAGATTATACTGACAGTGCTCTAAGCAAATCTTTTGCATTTGCCTATTTCACTGTCCTGGAACCACATTTATAGATATTTTCACATAAAATAATTAATAATGTCTCTGTTGCTCATGTGTACCTTCCAGGAGTTGCTTTGGTAGAGAGGACATAGTCTGTACGCTGTTGATGTCCATCTTCACCTGTTAGGCCCTACAGAATACAGAAAAAAATTAATAGAATTATGAGAATGAGTGGAACCAAAAAAACTGATTCTTGCTAAAACTTCTATCAGATTTGACAGCAGCTTTTTAATAGAATAAAAATGCATTGCACAAATTGATATGAAAGTATGAGACATAATGAAAGAAGACCATGATTGGCTAGTTACTGTACATCCAAAGGTGTGAATTCAAGCCCTTGTTGTTTTGTTGTGTTGTTGGGTGGGGCACTTTACCCTAACAGCACTTCTCTACTCATGAGTATGAATGGACACTTAATTGTGAACTTGATGAAATGCTGGGCAGGGGGAAGGGGGTCATTCATGACAGGGATGGAGGGGAAAATACTCCTACACCCTGTGGTTGCTTCATACAACAACAGAAAAAGCCTAACCTTCAGTGGTATGGGCTGGAATAACCTGGAGGATTACTGGTACCCATTTCATACTTTTGAAAAATAAATTACCAAGTTAGAAGAGGAATATGTTTAGCAGACACTAAAACTGGCCAGAAGACAGTCATGATCCCCTCCCCTAGAACCATTATCCAGATAACATATTTATACGTTCTTAAAACAGGTTACATGAAGTGCCTCTTTCTCAAATTGCAGTTTGTGATGCAAATAATACCAAACAATACCAATAAATAAGTCAGCACACTGTAAACTCTGGGAGTGAATTGTACCTGGTAAAAAACATATTTTGCTCTCTGAGTTTTTATGGAGCCAAGTTTTTTTCTTGCTTATTGTGAATTTTTTGACATGTACCTGTTTGGGTTTTCCTTCTTGCCACACCTAAAACAAATTATATTTACCATTGTTACAGTTATTATAAACAACTACTGATAAAAATTATTAACAGAGTTGTCAAATAAATAATTGATAAAATTCTACCAAATTTAAGACTTTAAATCCTTTACTTCCCAGGAGTGATTAACATTATTTTAACTTCTCCCTATAATATCCAAAGGCATACATTATCTGGCAAACAGGTCATGAGATTTACTCAAACTTATCCTTTAGGAGTTGTTATCTTGATCAAACTCTAAATTCTGGTCACTAATTTACAAAGAAATGAATCATTCTCCTAAATATAAGAATTGAATCAAATAAGAAAATTAATATCTGAGTTCTAAGTTACCATAGCTTCTGATCCAGAGTTCCATCTGAAATGCACTATTTCTCCTGTCCACTCTTCTGGAATGTCGATGACAACTTTGAACCAATGAGTGGACCACCTGTATAAGGAGGGTGAGGAGTTGGATTTAAGAATACATTTTGGAAGTGAAAACATCGATCTTGGATATAAGATCAAGGGAGGGGTTTGGAGTCAAATATAGGTAAATCTGCTAATTTGCACCAACTTTGGACTCAATCCACTGATCATGAAGCAGACCCCATTTCTAAAGTCTCCTTGGTATTTATCTATCACAAATGACAGTATGCCTTGATTCTTTATTTTATTTTTACTGATTTAGATTTAAATAATTGAGTTTTTGCTTTTTCTTTTGCTTAAGATTAAGCATTGACAATAAGTTGATGAGCCTTAACCATGGGTTCATCACTCAGAAAAGGTGTTCTTTGATTTTTAAATGCTCAAATATATTTTTTATCGGCCAAATATACTGGATCTGAAACCTACTTAGCCCCAGGCCACTCCTCTTCTCTAGGAATCTGCCGTACATTAGCTGAACTAACTAAAGTAAATTGCTGCAGTCAGCGGTTGATCATGACTCACGTAGGACCATAACTGTTTCCCACTTGTGCCTCTGCGAACTTCCCACAAACAGCTTCATTGTATGGGACTCTTCCAGGAGCTGTGTAGTGAGTCAGGGAACTTACAGGCAGTTTCTTAGGATATAACCTGGGGAAAGAGTAAATAATCAGCTCCAGATTAAAAGTAAATTAGTGGCTATTTCCATGGTTGCTTTAATTAAAATACCTGCTCATAGAAAATCAAATCTCTATGTCATATCAGAGTCAAAGATTTTATTCATTCAAACTCAAAATACATGTTTTACGTTTAAATAAATACGTCTGAGACTCTAAAGCTGTAAAGGATGATTATAAAAAAATGGATCCATGAACATTACAATAAAAGCAGTTTCCTTTTAATTATAATTGGAAATTGCGGGATTTAAGAAGCACGCAAACTTCTTTCGTTTCACAAATAGTACTAAATAATTTAAACCTGGCGGTAAATCACGTAGGTCACTCAATAGAACGTCAGGATTTATGTTTTTCAATAGATCCACATAATATATCAAATGTATAACTATATCAAGTACGGGAAGTGGTTTGACAGATACTGTAATACTTGATTACTAATCTGAAAAGCTACGAACGATGATGTAGCAGGAATGAATCTAGCAAAATACACCAACACCCATGCAGTAGATTTACCTACTAAATAAGTTCACATCAGCGAAATATTGCGAGGAAATGAATTTTTCCGCCCTTTCTAAAGTGCATCTCCAATTCTTCCTAGCGCGGTGTTTGTCCGCCATATTGTCCACGTCGGTGATACCGAGTCACGCAAAGTCACGCAATTAAGTTCTTCATTTCCAGTCTCCCATATGAAAATTTCAGATTAAGAGCGAAAGAGACTGGTTCGGGGAAGAAGACAGCATTACGTCATATGTCTTGTGACTCTGACAGCTGTGCAAAACGAGCGCAAGGGAAAATTTTATGTTGAGGAAAACCCGCAAGGATTATGGCCTCAAACACGGCATCTGTAATGTATATCCCTTCTTTGAAAGACTTGATATTTGCAGTGATTATCTTTTCGTCGATGTTCTCCGTTACTGCCGCCTGGTGTGCTGGTGGATGCTTTAAAGAAGGTTTTGTATGTTGTAATAGCGCTTGTATCCAGGGATCCAGTTGTGTGGGTCTTCGTTGTTCAAACTATGACGGCTGTTCTTCTGGTGAGACTTGCTGCAACAATATTTGTGTGAATGGAACAAGCTGCCTTGGTAAAGGCTGTTCGGTGGAATCAGATTGTGCCTCGAGTGAAGTATGTTGTAGCGGAACCTGTAAAGATGGCTATGGTTGCATTGGATTGTCGTGCCAGGCAAATTACGACTGTACAACTTACGAGTACTGCTGCGGAGGAATATGTAGCTATGAAGTAGACTGCGATGATTTCGCTATTTGGGTCGTGCTTGGTTCAATTTTTGCTTGTCTGTTTATCATTTTGGTCCTCTTCATGCTTGTTGTCTGCTTTTGTCGACGTCGAAGAAGGTACTACGGAAGAGTTTTAGAAGGAGGAAGACTACCATCGGTAACAACTGTGGGAGACAGCAGCCTGTCTTATCCATATCTACCGTCCTATCAACAGAGCTATCCTTACTGTCCACCGCCACAATACGTTCAGTATCCGCCAAACAATGTTGGCCCAGCAAAGACAAGTGAAGCACCCCCTCCTTACAACCGTACCTCAGAGGTGGCATCAGGGGTGGTGAATACACCTCATACAAACTATGGTGCTGTGTCAAATTCTTTATAGAAACGCGAAGGTTTGATTTCATTTAAGTTATCAGTGTATCAAAGGACCAATATGTACAGAGGAACATATTGTTCTTATTGTTAGAAAAATGCAAGCAAGCCATGCACTTGGAACTTTGATCCCATTTTTTATCTTCACTCTTTGCCTTAAACCTCTAACCTCTAAGAGTGACTAGCTTCTCATTTCTCTTCACCGTAACATTTCTGAATCAAACATTAAATTCGCAGAATCAAAACAAATGATTGTCAGTGTAACAAGCTCTTAATTGTTAGACAAATCTTTCATAACAGTAACCATAGAAAATTTATGGAAAACAACATGATGATTATGCACAGTGATGATAGGGTTTAAACTGTTAGGGTTGTCATATTTTTTTCCTAGGTAATTTTGATTTTTTTTCTTAATAAAGCATCAGAATTTTGACCTTTCAAAATTTATTTTCAAAGGTTCCAGCTAAAGTAATTCAATAGGATTTTATGTCTTGATGGTTGTTACTTGAAGAAATAAGGGCTGAGGTTCTTGATATCAATATGAATGGCAGATAAATAGTAGAATTCCTTCTTCAAGCTTGTCTCTTGAAATTTCTACCAATCATACATGAAAATGCCACTTAAACTAAGTAAAGTGCAGCTTAGAGCTGAAAAACAAGTTTGCTCTGTCTAATTTCCTGATCGAACTGTTTGAATTTCAAAATTATTTAGATGTTGACCTTGAGTGTGAATCAAAAAATTAAAGTAGGAACCAGGCCTGATTGGAGCAAACCCTGGGTTAGCACAAAAAAAAAAGATTAAAAAATGTTGCTGTGGCAAATAATTAGGACTAATTTTGATTTGTAAACTTGGCAAAAGGCAATAGCATACTGCACTGAACCTATAAGGGATATCATGGATTTCTAAGGTAATATTTATTAATCACATTGGGAAGGGATTGTAAGAGATCTCTAAGGCTTTGTTGTTTATAGCAGACATGTTTGAATAAAAAGCAAGTTATATTAAAAGCTAATTTTATTAGTGGAAAGCTACAGCCTAGTTTTTGTTTTTTAATTAGTTTTGTTTTTCATTTAGTTCTGTTTTGTAACTAGTAGGATTATGGCACTCCAAAGCTGTGATTGGAACTACTGTTAACTCTTCTTCGTAAACTTTTTCCCCCCAAATTTTATTCTGATTTAAAAGTAAGCATTGGCACTCAGCTCTCCTGCCAACCATCAGGCTGAGTAGAATAAGAAACTGATGGTTGGATGTATCATCTGCCAAGAAATATGCCAAATTTATGTACCATTTGACAAAGTGGAAGAGCTGGAAATGAGAATGTAAAATATTCACAAAACTTGATACAAGGATAAAATTATGACTAATTAATCAATTTTTTTGATTGGTAAATTTCCAGTTATTTCCCTTGCAAAGACTCAATATCAGCCTTCTTATCATAAGGGGCATATGAGGTGTCAAGGAGGCTGTAGTTATGGGCTGATTTTCAAAAGTTAGCAATTCCTTTGTTTTCTAAGGAAACTCTGGTATTGGTATTTTAAAAAACAAGCATCTATCTAAGGCTTGATCTGATAAGAACAACATCTTGAGGACCCCAAAATCTTTCAAATTTCAGATTTCAAATTTCAGATTTCAAATTTCAGATTTCAAATTTCAGATATCAGAGCAGGTGTTACTCATTAGGAAAGTAGTACAACCATATTCCAGTAGTTCTTAGTTAAAGATTCAACCTCTTGATCTTATTGCATACCAGAGAACAGTTATTTTTTTCTGTTATAGTAAATATAAAACTGCTTTGTCACCTAATTTTAAATTAATTTAAGCTCATAATCCTTCTGGTACATTTCTGCACAATTCAGCCTTAAAAATTATTGACTGGGATTAGATTTATACAAAGTAGCACTTTTAAAAGTACAAAAAAGAGCTCGTTCTCTTCATTCCCTATCTCCAAAATCAGTATTAGGGAGAACATATGGGGGATGATGCCCTTATTTTTCGTTGTTTATGAAACAGTGGAACAGTTAACGTGCTATATGGGTCTGGTTAAGATAAGTTTAATAAATTTGATGTGCTGTGAAGTGATTAAAAACTATCAACAATAGCTTATTGATGAATTCATAGCTGTCCTTATTAATAATTATCGAATTATTATATTCCGAATTGATGGTCCCATGCCCCCAGTGCAATTAAAGTACGTGAAGGCGACGATGAATACAGCGTTTCAAGATCTTCTGCTCGCAACGATATATCGTTCAAATCGTACGTGTTGCCGTTATTGTCGCATTTCGCACCGTTTCCCATTCTGACCTCAGGAGTGCGACTATGTCCGGGGTCGAGATTGCCAAACTGGTCAAAATTGCATACAATTCCACTCCCTCTGAAAATACTCCTTGCACGGCCCGTTAAGCAGGACTTCTTCTTCACCACAAAGTGAAATTGATTTATCTCTCTCCTCTTTTACTTTTCTATTCAGTGACTAATCAGAGCCAACAAAAGCAACTTCGCTCGCCATTTTGATGTAAGAAAACTTTACCTTCCTCTCCTAACTCAGTGGAAATTTGTTACGAAATAGTCATTTGAATCAATTTCGGCTCCGACTGTCGCAGCGTTTTAAGACATTTTTTAATATGCTACGACATTTTTGCAGGCGTATGTGTCAGTCGCAAGCGAGTTGTAAGTTTGATTTGCGCAAAACAATTAGCGTTGCAAGCCTGTCTCAAGCTCGTCGCATGCAACAAAGCTGTACTCGAGTAAATCGGATACAACTATGAAGTCATAGCTGTCTTTATTAAAGGGTAATTGACGGCAAATTTTTCCCCCTTTATTGTCCCAATACATTCCTCCTACGTTACAGAATCTTTGATGAGCAAATAGGCGATATTGTGCAAAACCAAATTTTCTGCAAATTTTTTTTTAAAACGTTCCGATCCAGGCTACGTGATGTGTACGTCACATGTGTATAAGGCAGTGAAAAGGGTTATATTACGACCTGAAAGTAACAACTTCGCCCTCGCTGTCCAGCTACCGGCCGAGCGGTGATAAAAAAAGATTTGTTTCATTTTGGTTCAAGCCACCATTTAGAGACTATGAAATACGAAAAGAGAAATAAAATACTTTCTCTGAAAAGGCTGAATTATTCGAAACGCGACGGATCGCGTGTTTGTATTCAGCCACAGGTAACTAATTGCATGCCATGCCAAACAGCGGTACAAAAAGAAGAAATTTTGTTTTTCCTCTCGACCATTATCGAGTCTGTTACTTATAGAAATATTTTTTGGTCCAGGCCCAAAAGCATTTAACTTAAGATTTTGTCCGGTGTATATCTCTGTGACCTTAAACCCATCGGTTTTGGAGTGAGCGTCACATAAACGCGAAGTGTTGTCGCAAATTATAGGGGGTCTTTATCTGGTTTCGTGAACGAAACTCGTCTTCCCCGTTCCGGAAATGTTCAAGATTTATCCTTTCTTGATCTTTTTTTTACTGAGACTAATGAGCAGTACAAAAGAAGACTTCTTGCTGTTTACATTTTTTTTTATTTTTTCCGACGCTTTTCGTCTCTAGCTGAGACTTCTTCAGGAATGATTACAACTAACATTGAACAGCATATATAGCACACTCGAGTGGCTACGCTTGACTTCCAATAGAAGCACCTTGTTATGTTTCTCATTTGCGACCGGAAAACATGATGAAATCAATCATGTCCCCAAGGTTACTCGTTTCAAAAGTGTACAACTGTCGGCTGGGTGAACAGTAAATTACTCACGCTCGTTTATCGTAAATAAAAAAAAGCCTATAGCCTGAGAGAGGAAATCATTAAAGCACATGTCATGAGACTGCCCAGCACCCACAGTATAAATCGCAGTGTCTTAGTTAAAAAAACGAACCGAGTCTGCGACACAATCGTGCGACGGAAATAACAAGCACGTAATGTTTCTCAAATTACGACCTGAACTTTAAACAACATGATTTCGAGCGAAGAAAACGAAAACCAGGGAAGCGCTGTGTAGTGATGTTTTATAACATAACAATTAATGCAGACGGAGTAAGCTCTCGCCAGTTTCCAGCTGATGAAAGCGTACGGCGACAGTGGATTGCATTTGTTCGAACAAAAAGGGAACCTAACAGTTGGACACCAGATTCGGGTCACATTTGCAGCGACCATTTCTCAGCTGAAAACTACAAAGGATTCTGTGCAAAAATAGCTGAATTTTAGCTCCAAGCTAGTATTAAAGAGTTTCTTCAAATCAAGCGTCTTCTACTCTTGGATGCTGCACAATGCATATGGGTTCTGCCTGCAGCTGTTCCTCTGTAATAGCCTTCAAATTTTTATTTTTCATTCTTGAGAGCAGATGTTTACCGGCTTCCTCCCTCCACATTGATTGGCAGTTTCCACGCTGGCACCTTGGGGTAAAGGGAAAACGAAGTTAACAATAAATTAATATCAAGAGGATCGACCTTCGACTCTAAAGTACGAATGCTATTTTTTGTTAACTTGTGTTTTACAGTAAAAGCCGATAAATCTTTCATCGTTAGCCAAATTCAATACAAGGACACTTAAAACCGATACAAACGCGTTTAAACGTGTATAATGTGGGAAACTACCTCAAAAATGAATCCGTTCAATGCACCTCCACTAGCGTGTATGTTTATATTTTGACAGGCTTCGGAAGGTGCGTGCACAAAAACACAAGCACAAAGCACAAAAAAAGCACAAGTGTAGCACAAAAACACTTCCCTCCTATGGAATTCTAGAGTCTGCACATTTGGTTTTATTTACTTGATCTCTCCTATCTTCAATAAGTGACTGATTTTCAGATATTTTGTTTACAAGCGTAATGCACTTAGTCACCATTTGTCGCTTTCCTGATTGAGGCGGCCGCTACGCATGGGCTCTTGATCTCTTTCTGACTCTCGCGCTCTATATTCGGCTCGTCCTGGCGGTTCAAATCGCCAGGGCCTGATTAGACCAACAGGCTCATAAGCCCTATCGTTACTTTCACCTTACACCGTCATCAAAATCTGAATAATCAGACCCCGAAATTGAACTGCTCTCACTCGAAATAACAAGTGACTAAATACAGGAATGGCTCCGACCTGTAATTGGATGATAAAAATAGTAAAAGTTAATAAGTTATATCTTAACTCTTTGCCCGTGAGTATTGTTAACCGCGTGTCTCAAAGCGGAACAATGAAATATCAATGCGAGTGAAAACACCGATCTGTAAAAAAAGAAATGATTACTTACCTAGCGAAGGGAAGGCAGCCTTTCTTATTCAGCGAGGTCGTTCAGCGATATTCCAGCGATGAAAAAGTCATCGGCTAACAAGCTCCGCTGACAAAATTCATTTGGTCAGTTCAGGCGGACGACCAGAGACTGGAGCCATTCCTGTATTTCACCGCTGACAGGAATAGCTCCGACTCGACCGTTTATTAATTTTTTTTCAATAACTTTTTAGTAATTTTTAAAAAAAAAATTTTAAAAATTTAAAACTAAAATGGTGAGCAGTGCTGTACGAACAGTAGTTGTAAAACTTCTTTATTCTCTGACGCGTTTCGTCTAACTCTCGTAACTTCTTCGGGGAGTTTTACGAGGTAACACTAAACGCGTATAGTTATAAACCATTGTTAGCAGCTATGACCAGTGACCATAAGGGCTTACCTGGACCTACGAGCAGGAATAGGCAAAGTTGTGAAAATTTGAAAATTTCTTTTGAAAATTTATTAGGCAAGATGAGAAATATTTTTTGAGAGCCGCGGTTTTAGCTGAAAATTTTCAAATTTGAAAAATTGAAGAGGTTTTTTTTACAGATGATGCCTGGAAAGCAGTTGGCAAATTAGGTTAGGATGGCTCGTACAGAAAATGTAGTTTATGGTCCACTCATTCTTTCTTAAATTTAAGTGGTATAAATACCTTGTCTAAAACAGTAGTGTGATACGATAACTAATGAGATATACTCGTTCCAATACTATGTCATGTGATGAACAGCCTTCATTAATTTTGGAACATGTTTTATAAAATCATTTTACTCTTTCTTGTTATAGCCAAAAACTGTTCGAAGATTGGTTATGCTATCACTGCAAACAGTCAAGGTACTTCGATATGATTCAGTGCGAGGGCTACTGCCACTGGTTTAACTGGTAAGACACTTTTTTTGTTTTGTTTTTTCCTTTTTTAGGTCTAGTGGAGTTGTTAGAAATTACCAAGCAAAATTAATCCGCGACTTTCTTCCTTTGGGTGTTGTGCAAAAATAGATCAAGAACCCGATGAATGGGTTTGTCCTTCATGTGAACAATTACCTAGAAAATCCGTTTCCACGAAAAAAATTCCCTCGATTGCGGGCAAGCCATACTTCTCCAGTAGAGCATACTGTAAATTAAAAACATCGGTGGCAGCGTCACGCAACCTTGCGTGATCTTTCCAAACATGGTATGCAGTTGCTGCATTATTTTAAAACTTAGAAACTACATGGCCCTGTAGAAATAAAAGAGGGCTTCATTTGCAAGCACTGTAGACTTCAACATAAGAAGAACCTAATAAATAGCTCTTTCACTTTTTATCTGTATATAAATTATTTAGCCAGAACCAAAAAATTAATATACGCATGAGTTGGAGCCATTCCTGTCAGCGGTGAAATACAGGAATGGCTCCAGTCTCTGGTCGTCCGCCTAGACAGACTAAATTAGTTTTGTCAGCGGAAATTGGCAGCGGATGACTTTTCATCGCCGGAATATCGCTGAACGACCTAGCTGAAGAAGATAGACTCTGCCTTATCTTCGCTATGTAAGTAGCCATTTCTTGTTTGACACGTCGGTGTTTTCGCATCGATATTTCATTGTTCCGCTTCGGTACACGCGGTTAACAATACTCACGTGCAAAGAGTTAAGATATAACTTATGAACTTTTACTATTTTTATCATCCAATCACAGGTCGGAGCCATTCCTGTATTTAGTCGCTTGTCTCGAAATACTGTCCGCCATATTTTATTTTGTGAAGTGTACAGACGTGTGACGTACAGGTCATATGATCAAATTTCGAAGCGTTTATGGCGGATGAATCGGAAAGTTGCGACTAGGACAGTTTTCCGAGCGGAAAAAGGTACAAGGAGGTGTTCGAAGTACCTTTTATCTGTTTCAATGTGTTACCTGAGGCATTTAGACAGTATTCCGAAAAAGTGACTTTTTAGCCGTCAGCTACCCTTTAATATTTAGCGGTAAATTCCGGAGGCTGATCATCTCAGGACAAACAAGGTACGTAATGGCGACGATCAACACAGCACTTCTTGATACTCTGCTCGTATCGTTCGAATCAAATGCATTGCCGTTATTGGCACTTTTTGCAACGTTCCCCATTCTAATCGAGTGCGACAATGTCCGGGGTCGAGATTGCCAAACTGGTTGCAGTGATGATCAGGTTTGCTGCCTCACCTGTTCCAACGATTATTTGACCTGGAGCAGTATTGAAAACCTAACTGAAAGTTTCAGCTGCAGTGTGAACTGTGTAAATGATACTAGCTGTCTTGGTTACCACTGTAGGTCTCGTTTAGACTGCGGCTCATCTGAACATTGTCGTAATTGGACATGCCATCGAAAAGATAACTGCTCAAATTTTAGTCTTTACGACAATTGCAAAGCATGTGGATGTCAAGAGTGTTGTCATGGTATGTGCGGATGGTCTGATGCCTTATGCAATTCCTTAACAACCTTAGCGGTTTTTGGAATAATGTTATTCGCGAGTATATTTTTTAATTGCGTTCAGACGCTGCTTTGTCACGTATGCAACTGTAAGAGTGGTTCATCACAGCCGGAAGGAAGTAGGGCAAACATACCTCGAGACATAGAGATAATTGACTTGGAGAGAGAAACAGATGTACAGACGTCACAGCCGGAAGGAAGTAGGGCAAACATACCTCGAGACATAGAGATAATTGACTTGGAGAGAGAAACAGATGTACAGACGAGCAGCGACGAGCAAGGGTACTGTAACCAACAAATATTCGGCTACTCACCACCTCACGTTCCTTCTCCGACTAGATTTAGTCGGCTCACACCTACATATATGCATCGCCTTACAGCCGAAGCAAATGAACTACCTCCCCCTCCCCCTTACAGTGAGGTAGTAGAGGAGGGCTCTAGAACTGGATTTTCAGGAAGCTATTTGAATCATTTTACCGTGTTGGAAGAAGATTTACCTTTGGAGAGAAGTCAGCTATCACCTACACATATGCATCACCTTGTAACTGAATTGAATGAACTACCTTCCCCTCCCCCCTACAGTGAGGTAGGGGAGGAAAGATTTGGGGGGGAGGGTCCGGAGCGCGACTAAACCACGTCACAGTGTTTGAAGATAGTACTTCAAGCCAGCAACGTATAATCTATGTGCTTATTAAATAGTAGCATATGTGTAACCTCCCCCTTACAACCAGACAGCAGAGAAGAGATCCGGGGGTGAAGGCGACGCAAACCAAACCAGGGAGGAAGTTCCAGAGGATTAGGATTTATCGTGAAAGTATAAAAACGTGCTGTATGATGGAACCCATTTATAATATACTCAAACTTGATATCTTGTTCTTTATATCTGATTTGTAAACGATAAATATAACGTAGAAATACAGGCTACCCAGCCCCTCTCTAAATGGAGGAGCACACTTCAATAGTACCCAGTGCATCTCTAATGATTCCGTTTATGCTCTGGTGTCCTTAGTAAAAGGTTTTTATATTGTATAGGCATTGATATTAGCTACAGACACAAAAAATGTATTTGTATTTGAAAGCCTGTGATCTATATCAGTTATTAATCCCTAGAAATTGTTGTGTCAGAGCAGCTTCAAACCTCTGGCATTTTTATTACTCGAGATCAAAAAAATGACATCATTTGAATACAAAATGTTAGCTCTGGGCTGTCTAAGGGACTGATCGTTACTCATCAATCAGCTGGTAGTGGACGGGGGGGCGGATAATTCTGATTTTATCTCGTTAAAACTTACTTGACCCCTCTTTAGGCTCTGAAGTATTCTATTGATCCCTCATTGGCAGTAAATTCTCTATTATCCCCCTTTCATACTTCGTCAGCGAGAACTGACCGTTCCCCCTAAAAACCAATCTTTTTCAGGGGGAACGGTCAGTTCTCGCTGACGAAGTATAAAATGGGGATAATAGAGAATTTACTGCCAATGAGGGATCAATAGAATACTTCAGAGCCTAAAGAGGGGTCGGGTAAGTTTTAACGAGATAAAATCAGAATGCCCCCTCAAAATTCTCCGATTCTCTCTCCCCCCCCTTCCCCCTTCCCCCCTTCATTACCAAGCAAAAAAACAGAGACAGGAGACAGTCCCCTAAATTCTGATAACACATGTAATTCGCTTCTCCTTGACCCTCCCCTCCCTTCTGTAGTTCTGGCCTTTCTAATTCTCCCCCATATCCAGTCTTGCTTCTCTCGGGGTTTATTAATTAATTAGCTCACCTGTGCGAAAAAAAGCGTAAATTCAAACCAAATCTAAAGCATTTCTTCTTGATTAGGGACTAACAAATTATCCACGAAATATAAGCACAACACAACAAGTAAAACTCCAACAGTGACACTTTTAAAACAGATGAATTTTGAGTTTTAATTAAATATATGTTTCAAATGCCCCGGTCCCACAAAATTAGAAATAATGTTTTTCTACGCAAAGCGAGACAGTTGTTTTCATCACAAGTAAGCGAAATGGTATTTCAGGCTGTAACGTGTGAGTTGCCAGTAATCGGATCCTTGTGGGGATTTTTGGAAGGATTTTAATGAATTTCATGGGGAAATGAGGGGGAATCAGTCATCGCGAACAGCCTTTTGGTGGGATTAAAGAGAACTGACTGCCCAGTGACGGGGATCCTAAGAATATTACAGAGCCTTACGTGTGTGGATTAGATAAATTTTATCGCGATACAATCAAAATCCTCCGAGAGACATGACGTAGATAGAAATGTTATAGATGTTTTCGGTTCCGGAGTTACCTGGGCGCGTGCAATTACGAAACACAGCTTTCAATTCTCACGCAATGTGATATGACATTTGTGGTCCAAATCCAGTTTAGTAAAACTAAATAAGAACATCAAGAAAAAAAAAAGAGCACCCAGAAACTACTAGTATAGGCAGAACTGATTTTCAAGCATGTGAAAACCCCAGCAACAAAAGGTAAATGACCTAGATAGCTGGAGCGCATACACAGCTTGATTGACCAATTTAACGCAACTTTTCATGCTTAACAAAGCAGTTGCGTGAGCTCCCGATTATTCTCGTGACCGGAAAAGTTGGGTGACGCTATATCGATGGCGTTCGTCGAGGGTATGAGTACACGGTAGTTTTGGTCAGCAGGAAAATTATGAAATGTGGGAAAATTGCGAAAGCCCGCGAAAGGATGACATTTAAAAACTGAAGACAAGCTTTGATTAAGACACTAGAATGCGCAATGATGGCGGCGACTATTCAATCGTCTTTAAATTGACTTCCTTGAGGAAAACCTTGAAAATTGTTCAGTTGAAAACCAGTGCTTCTTGGGTTATTTCGATGGGAAAAGAAAGGAGTTCGAGAATATGTGCAAGAAGTTCTTATTAGTTCCACATGCCTTGTGAAGAAGGCCTTACACTCAAAGTGGTTAAATCACAAGAGGGTTTCGAAAAATGGTGGGCAGTTTCTTTTATTTTTAGCTGATTTTTTGCCTTTATCAATTCGGTGTGGGCCTTATAGAGACCTGATCTTTTGACCTTTTGTAAAAACTTACGCAATGGACCGGGCGGAAAGGTGTTGAAATATTTAAAAATATTTCATATAAAAGAGAGCCCTTGGAAAACACTCGAGGTACGTAATCAGTGTTCTCCCTTATTTTAAGCATGACAGGTAAAATAAATTTTCAAACCGGTACAGCAATCCTTTTACCCGTTGAATTTTCAAGAATTCCAAGCAATTTTAAACGGTAATAAGAGGCACTACAGGCGGTAAATGTTACCGGTTACTGCCTGAAAAGGAGAACGCTGCGTAATCTAGTGTACCAAAACCAGACTGTCAAAACGTATGGGTTGGATAGGGCCAATAAAAGGAGCTCTCCTCAAAATCATAGCTTTTTTTTTAGCAGGGTGAATGATAAGCTTATTTTCCCGTACTCCATGAGATCTGATCCATTACAGAATTTAAATTGGAGACAACACGTTCAACATTAGGGCCTAAACAATAAAAAGTAGTATCATTCGCATACATTAAAGCATTTCCTGTCGACACAAAATCGGGAACGTCATTTACATCCATTTACTTCAGAATTCCCCATAAACGTAGGGTGTGTACAATCCCTGAAATTCCCGTTCGTTATTTCACGAATCATTTGACGTTTTAGTGTTAACAAGTTTTTCGTATTATGCAAGTAAAAAAACATTGAACTTCTCTCTATGGAGTTAACGCTGCAAGGAGAATCTCCCTCAAAATTTACTTTTTAAGAGACGACGTTACCGTCTAAAATTCAAACGTTATTGTTAGGCTTATTGGCACATTGATAACCTTGTAAATAGTTCAAACATACTGAAGACATTTTTATTAGTTTTCGTATATCTTTATCTGTGAGCCACATATGAGTATACAAAAACAGAGAAGTATAGATTGCTGGCTTGTTTTAGTGAATCTAGGATTTAGGGAATCGCTACGAACTACGCGATCATGCATTTAATAATACTTCTTCCTCTCCTAATGATTGATAGTGGAAGAAAACAGTAATGATATAATGCTATTTTATGTGCCGTTATTAAAAAGATTTGTATTCACATTTAGCTTACTGGCAAAAATTCCGCGAAAATTACTCAAAAGAAATATATCTCGGTAGTTATTTTTGAGAACCACAAAATACTTAAACAAAATCAAGAAACTGCTGCAGGACCTCAAGGCTCCTTTAATCAGTACGATCTTGCACATATCAGGTTTGAACTTTTCGTGGAGAACAAGTGCTGGAGCTTACATGACGTATTTTTAATTTGACCGCTGTACTATAAACTTGTGTGTTCACTCTCGACGAATGCCACCCGGAAAAGTTGAAGTAAGCGGTACATCCCAGTGATGTCGAAAGCACACAACTACACTGAGATCTTTTAAAAACAGAAATAAGGAATTTTTGAGACATGGTTAAATCATCCTTCGCTTTTTTTGTCTATGTATTACATTTATTTGTTGCTGTGAGTCATTCTGGGTGCTTATATCAGAGCGACTGTCAATCCAACTACGTTTGCTGCAGCCATCAGTGTATTTACGGCTCTTCTTGCGTCGGAAGGAATTGCGCTTCTCAGTCAGACTGTACGAGCGAGGAAGTGTGTTGCGACAGTGATTGCAAATATGGCAGTGACTGCAATGGGTCCCCTTGTAATGCCGACAGCGATTGTGGTCAGTTTAATCTTAACTGTTGTGATGGCACTTGTCAATATAACGACTGCAATGACGCCGCGGTTTTCTTTGGTTCAATATTTGGATCACTTGTCGTGCTTTTCATGTTCCTTATGTGTATTTCCTTTGCTTTTCGTCGTCGAAGAGCACTTGATCGTGGCAGGATAATCGTCGGCCAAAGAGTGACAACGACTACTACAGTAAGATCTGCAATGCAGAGTAGCTCAACCTACCCCGAACAGAATCCACCCACCTACCAACAAGGCTACCCAAACTACCCCCCTCCACAGTATGAGCAGCATCAGACAAACAGGCCTCAGCCCTACAACCCTGAACCAAGCATAGCAAGTCACTTGCTGAGTGAACAACCTCCCCCTTATAGTGGAGGACCACAGGGGACTTCAGGGGGAGTTTACACTCATAAACCTTCTTATGGTTCTGTGCAATCACTACCACCCGTGTAGTGACATGAATAGTTTTTTCTGGTGTAGGAATAGATGAAATGGTATTCAAGGTTCTAGAACCCCCAAAAGGACCTCTTGTTGCAGCGTTTAGATCACCCCTGATGAAGGCACTAGACAGGAGTGTCGAAACGTTGGGTCTATGAATTGTAACTTCTTCGATTACATGCATTAAATCTGCAAACCAGAGTAGCATCAAACTATGTCTGATTGTCCACCTGGTTGCCGTGTGAACTTTAATATATTTTGAGTTAGTACCAGCTTTCATACAAAAATCCTTCTCTCTAAACTGTGGGGTCAAGTGTAGATCATGCTAGTATTCCATTTTTAGTGCTTCAAGTCCACGGCCGCGGAGGTCGTCCATTTCTTAGTCAGGCCGGCCACTGAAGTGACATGCATTACTGGGAAGGGATGGCGCAAACGCCGAAGGAAACGCAGTGATGGTCGTCAGTGACCGGGAAATAATTAACGATAAATAGTTGAATAAACCCAGGTGAATCTCTGGCATACGTTTCTCAGTTGTATGAATCAGTTTTCCAGAATCTATGAAAATTTTTCTTGTTTTTGCTCAGAAACAATGTTTTAGATTTCATTCATCAGGGTACTGACATATTCACAGACAAAAACATGGCTAGAGATAGAGCACTTTGTGTTTTTTAAGGTATTATTCTATAAATAAACATGACCACAAACTATTCTGTTTGTAAGGTGAACTGAGCGGATAACATTGCTTAATGTGCGTAAGCTGCCTACGAAGCGACGCAGATGAGACACGTGCAGTATAACACAACTCTCAAAGATCAATCAGTTTACCTTGATCTTGCAACGCTTGTTGGTCAAAAGTGAGGCCCGAGTCGCAAACTGAGAGCACAGCGCTGATTACAACCAGATGAACACATCTAGAAAAGAGTGAACGGACGACAACTTTTGTGGCAGTGCTATTTATCGCGAATGCGAAAAACAAATTTCCAAAATAGCTTCCGCCTTAACTGAAATGAGGTGTGCTTTCTTTTTCAACCAATTTTTCTCGCGTGGTACGGGGAAGGGGGATTCACGAAAGTGATGCACAGAGTCGTATGATGGCACTGCAAATTTATATGCGATGACGTCAAAGTCCAAAATCCGCTTGGAGTGACGTCAAAGTCTTACAAGAATCCCCTAGGAATTGTGGGACATCTGGTGTTGACACTCCACAAAGTGAAAAGGAAGCAAGAAGAGATCGTGTTAACGGGAAAATACGGTATTTTCGAGAGATGATCAGATCTTCTTTCGTGGTTTTTGTCCTTGTTAGCCATTACTTTGTTAAAGTGACTCCTGCTTGGTGCTCATCTGGGGCATCTGGATGCTCTTTCAACCAAGTTTGCTGCAACCATGAGTGTCAATTCGGCTCTTCTTGTGTTGGATTGAGTTGCACTTCTCAGAACGACTGTGGCATCACGGAAAGTTGTTGCAGCAATGTATGCACAGCGGAAATCGACTGCTCTGGATTGGATTGTAGTTCCGACCTCGATTGTGGTCAGCCAAATATCTTGATCTGTTGTAATGGAGTTTGTCAATATGATTGCTTTAATTGGAACCTTATAATTGGTTTAATATCTGGATTACTAGCTGTGATCTTCATCATTACTATGTGCATTTTCTGCGCTTGTCGCCGTCGAAGAACAGTTCATCGCGGCAGAATTATTGTTGGGCAGAGAGTAACAACGACAACTACGATAAGATCTGCACCAGCGAGCACCCAACCTTACCCCACACAGGCACAACCTTACCAACAAGGCCACCCATACTATCCCCCTCCACAGTATGAGCAGCATCAGACAAACAGACCTCCACCCTACAACCTTGGACCAAGCACAGCAAGTGAGCAACCTCCCCCTTATACAGAAGGACCACAGGGAGGAGCAGGAAGAATTTACACTCCCAAACCTTCATATGGTGCAGTAGCATCAGCACCACCTATGTAAGGCAATGAATTGTTTTACCTCAACCTGGTTATATAACTCTAAAAACTTTTAAATATCTTTAAGAACATAAACCCTTGGATTATCTGAAACTGTTTTGATAGAATTTTTTATGCAACTGATGAAAAGGAAAAGGTAAAATGGTGTGGCTTCTGTTACTTTACCTCAGCCAAGCTTTTACAGAAAAACCTGATCATTTTGTAGTCAATATGTAACTAAGCCATTGGAACAACAGGTGAAAAGTGAGGTAGTGTGGGAAATTTATTAATGTTGTTTGAAACTAAGAGTAGAGTTCAAAGGTCATGTGAAGTCCACTGTTTAGAGCTCAAATGTACACTTTGAATTTGAATTTGGCTCAGGATTTGAAGTTTGAATTATTAATTATCAAAGAAAAATGAAGTTTTGCAAGGAATTGTGCAAGTGAAAACTAATTTTTTTCTTGTCAGTCTTGTTTGCTAGTAGCACCATGGTCAAAATTCAACCTAAAAACTGAATTTAGGATGGTAGTATCTGAAAGAATTAAAAGCATTTTTCTTGTTTTAATTGACTTCAGCTACTTGAATCCTTTGTGTTAAAATTGCATATTTAAATATTTTATGTATAGAGATTGAATTGTACATTTAACTTGGTCCACTCTAGCTGGCTAATGAGTTAGTGTACTTGTTCAGTGGAATTGTTGTTTGAAAAAGCTAGAACTTTAAACTTGAAAATCAATTTGTTATAACTGTGGGCTAAGGCTAGTGAACCTCCTCATTCTATAAATGGTGGCTGTAATTTCATAGGATTTTAAATGAAGGAACTGTTAATATTACAGCCAGTCTGCCCCAGGTTCTCAATCAGTGAAGAAAAGCAAAAGAGTGGGTTGGCCAAAAACAGCATTCAGTAGATAGACAAGAGTGCAAGCCATTTTCCTTACATATATAGCTGTTACTTCCACTGGCATGAAACTTTTGCACACTTCTTCACTTTTTTTCTCTCTTTGAGAACTTGGCACAGGTTTGTAACAAACTGGCCCTAATACAAACTGAAATATAATTAAATTACAAAATCAATTATTCAAACTTGTAGCAAATAGTAGGGCTCCAAGCATTCAAATTGTCAATTTTTCAAGGACTCACTCCCAATCTGTTTTGATGGGTTTGCTACTTCAATTTGTAACACTGATAGTTTCTGGCTCATGTAGTTGAAAGTATACTCTAGCTGGTAGGGGGCTTTTAGAAGGGTAATTGGTTGTCTGCCAATTATGAGAAAGGAGTAGGCAAAGATATTGAATTAATTTTGTTTATAGTAGTATCAATATTTTTTGGGTGGCTCTTTCTGTTGGAACTTTTTAGCCTTACCTTTCCACTCTATAAATTTAACCCTCTGACTCTCAGAAGTGATTAACATTTAACTTCTCCCTATAATTTCCAAACATTTTCCAGCAAAACAGATAATGAAAATACTCAAACTTACCAAGGAGAAGTTTTTACCCTGATCAAACACCAAATTCTTGTGACTCATTTACAGGGAAATGCAAATGCAAAACCAATATCCACATGTAATAAACAGTCCAAAGCTAAAGCAGTCGAATGCATGGAGGTCTAATTCAGTACCAAATGTTTATAAAAATCTGAATCACAGGGTAAATCGTTTTAAGTCTAATCTTTCTGGGGATATAGAAACAAACCCTGGTCCGGTTATTAATTCTACTAAAACAATTCAAGCTCCTTACAGTTGAGACAATATGGCAATGTTTGGGTTAAATGCTGGTACACAGTGTGTAGCCATGCCACTTGCTTTCCCTCATATATAACAAGAGGAATGGTATTATATCCTCAATGGACTTGGTTAATATCATGAACATTGATGATGAATCGTATTCTGGTCTATCTAGTCTATCCAAGCAATCCTATTAACCCTTAATGCCCCAACATCAGTATCCATATTCTCCTTTCTCTTCTTTATATGTTTCCTTTAGTACTGCCATGGAGAATTAGTTTTACAATAGTAGATCATTTCCTCAATTCTCATGATGTCAACAAATGATTTAGCCATATTACTGTACAGAGAAATTAGATGCTGGTCACTCTGAGGGTTTAAAGGATTAACTGTTAACAGAAGTACCTGAAATGATAATTGTGTTTAATATTAATTATCAGCTTCAATATAGTCCAAGCTATACTGGTACTTTACATGGTACTTGTGAAGTACAAGATTTCAATTATTGTGTGTTATTTGCTAATGCTATGCAGGCTTTGCTGGGACAAAATTATAATTCCTTTCTTTTAACAATCCTTAGTACTTCAGTAGGTTTTTACAGTAATGGTGATGGTAAGTTTAAGATATTTGATTCTCATGGTAGAGATTCATATGGTATGTGCCATCCTTAAGGAACTTGTGTGCTGTTAGAAGTTAACACCTTAAATGAGCTGATAAACTATTTGAAGGTCTTTATCAAAATCCAAATGTTTCATTTGAACTCAAAGGTGTACATATTAATGAAAAACAATGTGATATGACAGATAATTCTGATCAACAGTTGTCAGCTGTCCCCCTCAAAGCAAATCATGCAGATGCTGAAATTACAACCATTCATATTCCCTTGTTATGCTGTTGTGCCACATCTTTTTATAGCATTTGTTTTTCCATTATCAAATATTGTGGGTATTGGAATTCACAGACTCTAGATAGAATCACTGACCATGCAAACAAGTTTTACAAAGAAAAACTCAATGGCAATAACAATCCATTCACTATCAACAATTTCCCAAGGACACTTCAAATATATGATGTAGATATTAATATTGCCTTCAATTTGTAGAAACAAGGAATACTGTGATTTATATCTCTTGGTAGCAAATTATTGCTTTAGAAGTTAATCACAGACAATACTAAGGATAATACTGGGTTTTTAATGTGGATTTCAAATTATTGCTTCAGCTGTATTTTTCAGCACAATAATATGAAAAGAAAAGCAAAAAGTGTTAAGTACTACATTATAAGATTCACTCTTAATGGCACAGCTTTTCAAAGTAAGATAAGGGAAGGTGCATATTATATTTGCTCTGTTTGTAACAGAATGCTATACTGAAAAGCTGCTATCCAGTTAAAAAGACAAATGTACAACACTCAGCAAGAATTATTTACTGAGTTGTATACCCATGATTCCTTTCCGTCTTGGAAATTGACCAATCACCCATCGCCTGATGACAACTTTTTTCGAAGTAGATGTACGCCCTTGGCCAGCCTTGAGCTCACTATTTCAGTATACTAGTACGACACCCGTAGTATCACTACACTTGATCCCAAGGATCCAGTACTATCCAAATTTCTAGTCTACTCTGCTCATAGGTTCTACTTTATCTAATCATTGGTCTTCCCTGTGGTACAACTAAGTCTTTGTTTAGCATCGTTTAGCGTTAGATTCACCAGACGCACGCACATTAGTATGACAAAGGACTTTCTAAGAGCCACGATATGCCAGAGCCTTCTTCTTTAATAGTGTCTGAAACTTCTAGTGCGTTTACCGGTATTTACCTGCAACCACTTTCACTTCTTAGTTATCAACGAAAGGGCGATCAAATTCGTCAATTCTACTAAGTGTCTAAATTCAATTACGAAATAACTTGTGGTTATTTGGTCCGTCAGTTCCGCGTAAACCCAACTTGATTCGATGTTTCTCTGGTCCTTATAAAAGTACAGTTTTTTACTTTGAAACTCTAAGAATTTTATCAAACGACGTGTCGCGGACGGATGAAGTCAATGCCTGAAATCAACGATCCCAGTTTTTCTCAGTATTCAGCTTCTCAATTTATTTATCAAACTTCAGTGGTTTGATGTCGCGTGTGATTTTCACGCGGCTGTTTTTTTACTGAGAAGAATGACAATAAAATAAAATGACGATTGAGATTTCGTATCATAGTCAAGGCAGCTGCTGATAAATATGAGAACTTACGCGCATACACTCTTCATTTCACAGTGCATGTGAACTGTTTTAAACCTGCTTGTTGGAGAGACTGTTCAAGTGTTTCAAACTTCACGCAACGAGCTTGATATCTGTGACACACATAAGAGAGAAGGACAATTCACTTTGTTTGCCGTAGTTGGCTTATCGAGTAAAATCGTTTGTTTTGCCAAAAGTTCACTAATTATGTCAGAATTGGTATGATTGGTACCCATCACTTGGTGATTTTACAGATCTACTAAATTATACCGAGTTTTGAGTGAAGCACAGAGATTCTTTTAAATCTCAATTTTCCGAGTTAGTCGAATCATTCAGTGTAAGAAAATCGAGATTGTTCGCCTCATTCTTTATTCAGTCTGTCTGTCTCTCTTTTATTGAGGACTAACAATTTATAGCTTTAATGAAGCTTTCAGTAGTTAGCAGGAAGCTTGTCATATACAAAAAAAAATCATTTACCGGAGTTTCATCGCATAAATACAAGCATCTAGGATAAGAATGGCATTTGCGTGACATTCGTTGAAAAACATTAGGAAGTCTCGAGCAACGATGTAATCTTCCCAAAAGAGTGAGTCATCAAATTGCTATCACTCTCAGGTCTTGAGAGGGCTGTGTCATTTTTTTCAGCCAATCAGCTAACTTGAGAATCGGCCTGTATTGGTTAAGATGTCGAATTCTTTCGCATCACATACCCACTTGTTTGTTTGGAGTTTGCAATTGTGGTTCCACCGAGAAAAGGGTGTAGACATCATAAGGATAAAGATGTCTTGTCCTAAAGATCCAATACCACTTTTTATCTTTAAAGGTGAAAATCCTGTTACGGCAACGGGTAAAATCATGACTTGGTTTGACGAGTCCAGTGAAAGAGAAGACGATCGCGCTGGTGATGAAATACGAAACCATGAGCTTTGATATTTTGGAGTTACTAGGTGAATAGCGGACAAGATGGAGTGTGTTAAAAGCCTGAATATAATCGTTTAACTGTGCTGATGCATTGTTGTTATAGCGGACATTCACATTGAGATTTTTAAGTGACAGCTGTTGCACCAAAAATCCTCTGACCAATATTTATCTAACAATTGCTTAAATTTTTCATGACGAGCTGTAGTAGTATGAGATATAAAACGTACAGTTCCTGCCCAGTCTACTAAGCTGTGAGAATCATAAGGCAAGTTTTCTCAGGGTAATTATAGGGTTTTCTTACTTAACGAGCTTTTTTCTCCTTTCTCACCACCCATCCTCCACTCAAATTCGAGCGGCTATGGGGCGATTGATACTTAACTTTTTAAATGTTCTACCGCCTTATCAAGAGGGCTCTTAGTCTAAAAACCGATGGCAAGGATAGTCGGATGCTTTAATAAAATGAGTATGTCCTGTTTAGTTTTTTTTCTCTGGTTCTGGTTTCATTACTTTATTTTTCAAACTTGCTTGACCTAGTTTTCCAAATCGAACCACACGTTAAAAAAAATACATAAAAATTAAATAAATTATTAGCTAAAAAATTCCGTTGAGGATAAAATTGAATCTCATCAGAAGTAGATTGGCCTATTTGACCTGCTGTGGTACTCCAGCATAATGATCACAACAATCGAATTTTACT